AAAGTTGTGGCTGTTGTGAATGATGAGATAAGCAAATGGGCAATTTGGTCAAGGTACACAAAAGCTTGTACTGCATCTAAAGTTATATTCCTTTTTTGGCCAATCATGGTGCCTCATTTTAACTAAAGAGACCTGATTATCCTTTGAATCTGAAGCAGCCATGTTGATGACACAGACAGCTGATGAAGCGCAACTCTTGCTTCTAATATTAAGAGAATGTCATCGTGACAGGGTCTCTAAACAAATTCCGGAAATCCGGGCACTAAGCTCTGGCTATGCGCGGGGTCCAGGGAATGGTCGGACTACAAAGGTCTATTGTACGCAGCCTACAAAGGTCTATTGTACGCAACCTTATCCTGTATTTCTGCAAGAAGCTATTTTCATGGCTCAAACCCGTAATTGCAGCAACTTTACCAGTTACGCCATGTTTCCCTTCTGGCCAAGCAATGATCAATAAATTGGATAAAATGTTTAAGCAAGATACACTTGACGGTTTCTTTTCATTTGCCTAACAAATTACCAAATAATTGTGTTGGCAGGTGATAACAAATGTATAGTTAAGGTGGGCACATGCTGACGCAAATTTGGTTCAAAAAAGAAGATAAGATGCCCATTTTGTTCGACCCTGCTTAGTGCTTGAAATTTCAGCATCCTCTTATAATGTGAGAGCTAGTAAGTTTGCTTTGTGGACTACCTTAATATTCCACTCTTGTTTATTTATTCTAAAGGAAACCATCTTGTGTTAGATGGCAGCTAATAAGAAAAAGGACCACTCAGATGGTAGTAAGAAGAGTTAAGAAGGGTCTACCAGTAGATTGACTTTTCACGCCCTTAAGAAATGAGAAATGAAATGCGTAATTTACCATGATACCCATGTTAATTGATGCATATTTTATTGGATTTGAGAAAATAATTTGAAATAAGTAATAAATACCGTGGATACAGAAGGAAAAAAAAGTTTGTCTTCTCTTGATATGTTTAAAGTGACAAGTAAAAATAAAAATTTATCTTTAGTATACATGCCAAGTAAAAGTGAATAGAGGGAGTAACTCTGAAAACAAGAATCTCGCATATGGAAAGAGAGGTATGCACCATAATCAGTGGCGGAGGCGAGGATTAAAAATATAAAGAAAAATAAATAAATAAACACGCAAAGAAGTTGTTGAATGAACTTTCCTGAAAATTGACCTTATATACACACCATAAATTTCTGACGAAGGTAGTTCGGATGAATCTCCTCCCGTCCCTAGCTCGCTCATGACCACAGTGCATGAAAATTTTCAACCTGATTGTACAAAAAAGGTTAAAATCCTCAACTCCTTGCACGTTTAAACACTCTATTCCAAGTGTAATAAGTAGCAACAATCAAAATGCAAAAGCTTCTTTGATTTGTTACAATTACCCGAGGCTGTACATGTTCTTATCTACTACAGACTACAGCACCAAATCTTTTTATACAAGTACAAGCAAAATAGGAGGACAAATCGTTTAGAACAAGATTAGACATGTGACAAAGCAACAAAAGAGGAAAAAACATATTCTGCCAAGTGATCTATCAGCCTGTAATAGTTGCCTTCTCAATCTTGGACTACTGCTGGCGGCTACATTATAAGAGTTTGGATATGTATACAAAGTTGTAGATGTGTTCCCAAAAATCCTAGCATAAGCCACTTCTCCAATAATAGGTTGCAACATATTAGCAGTGGTGCCACCAGGGCTAAGAATAGGTGAGGCCATGTAACTTCCTTGATAAGGTAGACGCGTTTGAGACTGCTGTCGTCGTTGAAGTAGCTGGGATTGATTTGATTCAGTCGTTGATATCAGCGTGTGATTGCTACATCTAGGAGTAGGAGGCCTTTGTGGAATGACAATACCAAGATTTGGAGCCTTTCCTTCAGATGATTTTGTTGATTGGCCGCGCCCATAGAGTGGAATCAAAGTTTTTTGTGAAACTTCAGATTTGCAAACAGGGCATTGTGGCTGTTGCTGATCTGAATTTTCTGAAGAATCAGTCTGGAAATGAATCCATTTGTAAATACAAGGCCAGCAGTAGAGGTGACCACATAAAGTTACCACAGGATCGCGCACGAGATCCAGGCATATGTTACACTCAAAACCACCGGAAACATTGTCTTCAACTTCATCGTTCATCGCCGTCCACTTTCCTAATGGAGTATCGTGTCTGCCAAAGGTAGTGTCGAGCTGTTCTAAGGCCATATCCTGATTCTTGATAGTTGGCTTCTAATGCCTGTAAAAAACAAATTCAAGGATCTCAGTACAAAAAACAAGACTTGAAATAACACTATGAACTAGTACAAAAAACAACTGCATATTAAATCTCAAGGTTGGCGACAAAATGAAAGGCCCTACGTACTAGACATAATAATAAATTTCAAGACTATAGGCCCATTATTTGTTCTAGTCTAGATTAAGATAAAGTGTAATGTCAATAAGATGTAGCACAAGTTGAGTACAATGATGAACTACCTACCTATTGATTCATATTCATCAGGTATCATAAATTCCAAATATCATACGGAGAAAATTAGTTTCTCTTTTCCTTGAGACAAGAGCCTATCGGAAACAAGCTCTCTACCTTCACAAGGTAGGGGTAGGGGTAAGGTTGCGGACACATTACTCTCTTTAGACCCCACTTGTGGGTTTACACTAGGTTTGTTATTGTTGTGAGAAAATCAATTTCTCAAAGGACAACAATTTCATGAAAATATTTTGGAACTATGGAAATTCTTGAAACTACCTAATTTCTTCCTAATTATTTAATTTTGTTCTAGGGAAAAGAAAAGAGAAGTCAAAAATCAAGAAATTTGCTAGCTGGAAAGAAGGTTGAAGAAAATAAAAGTCTGCACCAACAGCATTTAATATAAATAACTAGAGCTTTTATAATATGTGTATCCTATCAACCATCCATATAACAGGCCAATCCAAATTTAATAGGTAAAACAACCTTTGGGATAAGGCTTTATCAAAAAATGTACAAATCAAAGTACTGCATTGATTATGAAAACCATAAAAGGAGTTAAAAAATCATGTTATTGTCCAAGACTCTCCAAATATGGGTAAGCTAAAGAACAGCTCATAGCATACTTTGTTTCTAACAGGAAAAACTTAATTCAACCTGATCTATGCTATGTGAAATGAAATCTACAAAAGCCAAAAAAAAAAAAAGGAAAAGAAAAACTATAAGCATCCTATGATGTTTGAGTCTTTTATCTCAGATGACTAGTATCTGAATTTATAGCATTCATCAGCTTGCCAAAAGAAGGCCTAATCTGATTTTCCAATTTCTCATTTAAAATCTCAATACTAAGCCAAATTTACAATTCCACCTTATATTTCTATACAGAACTTTTATTTATCTTCCACGAAAGTTGACTTCACGTTCATCACAGTCAATGCCCATAAAGTCCACCACCACCCACCCAAACAGAAAGGAGAAAAACAAACTACAAAGCCCATTAACAAGAACAGCAAAAACATGATGTTTAAGGCAATAAGTACTTTAAAACATAAAGATCTAAACTCTCTAATCCTTTCTTTATAAGAAAAATCCAAACTTTGCCACAAAATCTTCTCAAAAACGCAGAGGGGAGCTTCCCTTTCTTAGCCTAAGATCAATAAAACCTTAAAGAAACAGATAGAGAGACCCAAAGAATGAAAAAAGATACATACCCAAATAGTATATTTGTATCAAGAACGTTTTCCAATAAGAAAGATACAGTCTTGTTTTGCCAACAGAGATAAAGGCAAAAGGATTGAGTGTATAGTAGGAGAAAGCTAAGAATCCTTTGTCTTTAGAAGCAAAGGTGAAACAGAGCTAAAAAAAAAAAGGGGGGATTAAAGATGAAGAGTAGATAGATATGAATATGATAAAGTGGCTGAAGGTTGGCGCTATATATATACTGCTTTATAAAGACACGCCTATACATATAAAGAGTCTGTATCTATAGAATAATTAGAGTGTTTAAAATAAACTTACAAATAAATGAAATTAATTATTTATTTGTCATTAGTTCTTCTGGATGATAAGTACACAGTGGAAACGCAAAGTGGGGCCCTCGTCTTTGTCCCGTCTCCGACGTGGCACTTACGGGGGGTTGCGTACGCCGTTTGTGTGACTCCGTTTTCTTTGTTTGGATTTTTCCTATTTCTGTTATTGTGTAGGTGGCTTTTAGATTCATTTTAATTTAAGCTTTTGGAAAATTGTTTGTTCATTTCATCTAAAATTTTAAGTATTGGTGAGCCGTAAGAGGCACACTTTCATTTTCTTATTAACGTTTATCTTTGAATGTTTCAATTGTGTAGTGTAATAGTTTGATTGATTTTCAAAAAAAAAAAAAAGAAAAATACCTTTTCAAATTCAAGTGATCATATTTTTCTTTATGCTTTTGAGATTTTTATAAAATTAAAACCAAAAGGGATATTTTCTTTCTTTTTCTGGTTGCTTTTAGTACAGCAATCATTGATAAGAAAAAGTTGGGGCTACAAGTCTATAACAACTCTCTTTTGATGACTTATAAGTTATGAGTATGAAGATCGAAAATAATCTCTTTGCAAAATTATAAAAGTAAATTAAATGACGTATAATGCATGCTTTCTTTCCGACCGTTTAAGCAGGGCGGATTTATTGGGGGATTATAGGATACATCAACCCATGGTCTCGCCGTAAAATTAAATATTTTATGTATATACTTTTTTAAATTGATAGAAAATTAATTATTAACACTTATGTTCTAAGAAGGTTGAATGGTGCACTTGGTTGAAGGTTGAATTATTTAACAAGAGGAATAGAAGTTCTACACTTATTACATTTTTTTCTCTTTCTTTTAGTGGTCACCTATGTACTAAAACTTTTAGATCCGTCTTAGCGTTTGAACCTTAGGAAGTGCAAATTGTGCAATAGCTTCTTTAAATTAGAGGTTCTTCAAAGATTTAAAGCTTAATTGTACACATATATAAAATCTGTCATCATAATAAACTAAGTGTTTGACCAAAAAGTGTTAAACCTTTTTGTTAAACTAATTAAATAAATGATAATGGGTAAATTCTAGTTAAATATAATAAATCCTAGATCCAAGATTGATGGATAATAATAATCTAGAAATCGCATTTAAAGCTATTAAAAGCCAAAAGGAGGTTTAATGATATTGTTGTTAATGAATGAGGGGATAAGGACAAGCAATAAATATGATAAATGGCAATAGCTGTAAATAGAGAGAGTAATTCATCCAAATGTATAACGAGGTGGATGATTCTCCCTCTAACAATGATGTAAGATAACCAAACGTGGGAATATCAAATACTTTATCGGATCTGATGTGGGAAAGTTTGGAATAGAACAGCAAATAGAATCTTGTGTAAAGATAATGTTTACTTGAGAGTCAACTTTTCTAGAGAGAGCTCATCAAGATAGAAAATTCCCTTCCCTTCTTTCTCTCTCTATTCCTACTTATATGGGACATACCCCTTACCTACAAAAGTACAAATACATAGAATATTCCTTTAAAATATCTTATTGCTAACTAGCCGTTTTGGCCGATCTGAATGCTCGACCTCGACATTGGCTGCTCGGCTCACCAGTGTTGCTTCTTAAGAACGACCTTGGCCTAATTGATTCTTGATTTCCTTATTTCAGGCGAGGTCCCCTTGATCAGATTTTGACCCATACAGTTAGTCCCTCCGCCCATCGGGGTTGTTTTTGGACGAGCTCGATGAGCGGACTTCGCCAGTTGCAATTTTGAAAAATCTGAGCACGTTGGCTGAGGAGTGACCCTTTTACGGCGAGGTGATGATGTGGCGCTTCATGATCCACATCTGACCGTTATGTCAGTTCGAAATGACACCATTTCA